TGTTTATGATGATTTACAGACTCTGATAGGTTTTAACTAATGTGACTGTGAATGGATTTTATTTTTCTGTTCATTCTGCTTGGACCAGGTCTTTGACCAGTGACACATGAACACACACACACACGGAAAAAGTTGCCCTCTATGTGCTGCAAAAAAATCAAATCTGTATTGTTGATTGGTGAAGACTTTGGGAGCAAAGAGTTGTAGAGAGGGAAGGCTACTTATTTTCATGAGAACATTTTCTATCTGAAGAGTATTTGTGGGTCCTCAATTTAATTTGAAGTATAGTTCCAAGGACTCCTACACTACTAAGATTGACATATGATAAATACAGATTCTGAGTTATGTCTAATTTTCAGCATTCAAAAGCAAAAAGAGAAAAAAAATAACAGTTTCTAATATTTCCCTCTTGCCCACCCCAAAATCTGTGTAGTTGCTATGGCAATCACTTTCAATAACTCCTGAAATGGTTGCACATCTTTCAGTATTTCTTGTTCAATCTGTAAAACTGTCATAGTAATCATTTTGAAACAGAATTCTGATCATGTTATTTTACTACATAAAGGCCTTCAAAGATTGAAGAATGTACTGAATGAAAGCAAAGTCTTTATAAGGAACAAATAAAGCTCCTAATTTCTGTCTCTATTTCTTATACCCTCCCCCCTTTTCCATATCGCTCTGGAGACCAAAATAACGCATACATGCAGGAAGTTGTCTGATGATTCTATATGGCACACAAGAAAAGATCTTTGGATACTAATATCTGGGGGTTCCACAAAAAAAGGGGGGGCTTAATTTCTGTGCTAGCCACTTCTAACATGACCTCCAATGGTTTCAGTTTTTTAATATTTATAACTTTGTGTAATCCCTTCTCTTTGTGCATGGGATAGACTTGGTGATGCACATCTAACAAATAGAATATGGTGGACATGAGGATAAATATACATAAGTAAATAAAGACATTAAGATAAATGTGATAAAAATACAAAAATATCCTAAGAAATTAACAGGAACAATTACATACTTTTAAGATTAGGTTTTAAAAGTACAGTTGAATCTACCTTGGGGACTTTTTCTCTCTCACTCAATGTGAGTGAAATCAGTTGCCATATCTCCCTGAGAGGTTTGAGTGACAAAAAACTGATGTCTCTGACCAACAGCTAGCATGAGCTGAGGCTTGCCAATAGTCATATGTCTCAGCTGGAACGGGTTCTCCCCAGCTGAGCTTTGTGTTATTTGCAACTTCTGCTAACACTGGAATTTCTACCTTGTGAGAGACCATGATCCAAAGGCCATCCCCAAATTTCTCATACAGAAAAACAGAGATGATGGTTTATTGTTTAAGTTTGAAACAGACGTAATAGACAGAATTTCAAGTAAATTAAATATATTTTAAAAATATATTTATTTATGCATACAAGAACTGGGATACAGTCCAGGGGGGCATGAGGTGTGTGAGAAGGTTCACCAGAGACACAGAGGGGAGCAGAACATTCAGATGAGTTGAAGTACATTGCTGTGGGGAGCTGTGGGAGGGTCAGTGATGGTCTGCTGTGTCATGTAGGTCAGCCTGCTGGCAGGGGATCGAACTCTTGCTGCAGTGGCTGCAGATAGCTTCATAGTGCTGTGCTTTAAACCCCTTGTGCCACCAGACAGGGCCCAAGTAAGTTAAATATTAAAGTTACTCAGAGAAAATGAAAATTGTACAGAAGGAAATGAGTTTAAAATTTTATAATAATTATCTTCTGAGAAATAAATGAAAATTTTTTCATCCATGAAAAAGGGGAAGTTATAAAAAATAGAATAGGAAAGAGTTCTTAGGAATTAAAAACATAATAGTGGAAGGTAAAATTTCAACAGAAGGTTTGGAAGATAAAGTTGAAGAGTTCCTCAGAAAGTAGAATGAAGATAAAGTTGAATAAAATGGAACAAGCAGATAATAAAATGAAGGCATAGTTCTAGAAGTCTATTAGAGTAAGAATGATTCTGGGAAGAGAAATAAAACAAGAAAGAACAGAAAGGGGTGTTACTTATCAATGAGAGTATATTTTACTTTGAAGAGCTAAAGATTTGGTAAAAAAGCTATGCATTTGTATTAAATGTAGAAATGTATTTATACAGCTGTTAGTTGATGTTCTTTGTTACTTTATTACAATTAGTGTTTTGTGTGTGTGTGTATATGTATATGTATATATATATATATAAAATTAGTGTGTATATATAAAAATATATATATAATTTTTTTTTTCCTGATCCCTTACACTCCTGCTATGAGTGAAACCATCTGGTATTTTTCTTTTTCTTTCTGGCTTATTTCACTAAGCATGATCTTTTCCAGTTCCATCTATAGACAGGGAGAGGGGAACAAAATCAAAACAGGGTGTGAAGAGCACATGGGGACTATGGTGATGGCACATGGGTGAAGTGGTGGAGGGAAGTTCATGGGGACGCCAACTGAGATGAAAAAATATACAAAATGAAGGATAATGTAAAAAGTATATTTATAAAAACATGTATCTATACAAATGTGCAGATTTAAGAGTACCAAATAGTATTCAAGATGAAGTACAAAAGACCAACTTGTCATTCAAAAGTAAAGAAGAGAAAAAAAAGTCTTTACAGTTCCCTTTTGTTCTCACCCATCCATTCCCTTTTTTGTATCTTCAGTTTTATAGCCAGCTTTCTAGGGTTCAGTGTCAGTTTGCATTATCCAACCTTTTGTTTTGTAGCTCTATCTTCCACAAATGAGTGACACCATCCAGTATTTGTCTTGCTCCTGATTTATTTCCCTTAGACCAATCCCCTGCAGCTACATCCACACTGCCACAAATGGCAATATAGATTGTCTTCTAAGCCTATCTATTTGTGGTAATTTGTTATGAATTCCTTAGGAGATAAATACACCATTTTTCTTGAACAAGATTTTCTCCAATTCCTATTTAATCTCAAACATAAAATTTTATGTCTCTTTAAATAATCTCATCATAATTGATTTGTCTTCCTTCCATTGTTAAAGGATTTCTAATTTTATTCTTTATAATTCAAGAAATTGCTGCAACTTGTTTGAATACCTTTAATCTTCAAGTAAAAATTATTTCTCCTTTATCTTGTAATAGCTTTGAGTGCCATTCTTTCAGTATCAGAAATGTCAAATTTTGTTGAATGAACAGTTAAGCCACATGTTGGACCTAGATATTACCAAATTTTCCAGCATTCTAAAAACATATTTTCCTTTAATGATTTAATACAATAGCTAGAGCCCCTATATCACATGCAGAAGGAAGTTCCTTGCTTTTCTGCTGGATCTTATGGGTCAGGAGAAGGCTCCTTATATTTTTCCTAGTACCCAGGTACAATATTATTTTCTTTTCATTTCCCCTACTAGCTCCATTTTGTAACTTGTCTCTGGAAGTGCCATCTTGCTGCACTGTCACTGCTGATCTGGAGTATAAATGAAATAATGTATCATACTTTTTAGTGATTTACACAGTATTTCACCAATATAAAGACATTCTTTGAATAACCAGTAGCACTAAATTGGGTTCTGAAGAGACAATGATGAGGAAGTAAGTCTCCATAGCCAGCTAGCTTTTGTAGTCAAAAAGAAAAAACTTACATAGGTACACACATGCATGCAAAATTGCAAGTGAGGTAGGTGTGATGAAATAGCTTGGATGTGTGCTGGAGTAGAAGACATTAATCAGCTTTGTAGCAGATATGAGGGTAAAGAGGATATTAGAGAAAAAGCTTTAAGCATGAACCAATGAGCAGTATTGGAATGGTGCAAGTTATATCAGCCTCAAGAAAGAGAGGCAGGTGCAGAGATCTAAGCCATAAAGGGTGAGAAATTAGTCTGGAGAAACCAAGCAAATCTACTTTAACAAAATTCATGCTCTACTTGAGGCTTCCGTAACAGATGTTATCTTAATTCTGAAGTTCATGGGAACTATTGAGCAGTTTGTAGTAAGGTATTGACATGATCCACTTGTATTTTAATGAAGGGAATTTTGACTCCTGTGTAGATACAGAAAAAAGGGTAAAACAAAGTGTATGCAGGGATTCCAGAGAAACTTTATTCCAGGAGAAGTGGTGGTTTTGACTAGGAAAATTATGGTAAACATAAAATAAATGGAAATTCTTGAGAATGATTTTAGCGCAACATAAGGATCTGATGACTTGAAAGAAGACTAAGACTTTTAAAAAAAACTTACTGAAACTTACTTGAAGAAACATCAAATGCTTTGTTTTAACATGTTAGACCTCATAGTCTTAAAAATTGATCAATTTCTTATTTTTGAGTAGGGAAAATTTTCACTAGCTATTTCTTTCTTTGGACTCTTAAAAGGTTTTTTTTCCCCCTTTAAAACCACTTTCTTCCTGTCAAGTCTTATTCTTTACCACTACTTTATTGCTTAACATATTTATGACTCACAATACTTTGTAACTTTAGTAATGCAACCATTATGTGAAAAGTTTAACAATAAATTTCTTATTTAGATCCCAGTTTTGTGTTACCAATATTTCTATTGAGCTGTTGCTAAGTGTATTCTGTAGTTCCAACCTACTTGGTAAAACAAAGACAGGGAGAAATATTGATGTTATATACCATGTTACTGTATTTATGATCAAACTCACAGGTCTCAACATCCACTAGAACTTTCAGGGTCATGGGAATGGGTAAGGAGGTGATCAGTTACATCTTCCCCTTGGGCACACCTACTCCAGGCTACCCTCAGTCCTTCATCTCCTAACTTCTCATTCGTCTCTGACAAGTTATATTATTTTCTGGAAGATTGCCTTATTATTTACTTGTTCTCATCCTACAAGTTATAATGATAACTTACAGAAACAACTATTGTAATGCAGAGTAAGAACTTTATGTTAAAAATGTGGACTCAAGATGCTTAGTAATGTTTTATGACTTGTGAATCTATATATCTCTGAGAGGATGAATATTGACGGCTAATATTGAATCTTTTTCTTTTTGTGCTCTTTTTAAGGGAACACCCTTCTTTATCAGAACTCCCCTTGAGTCCATATCCAGATTTATTCACTAGGACTAATGAAGAGTTGAGAAGAATCATTAACCATTATGTAAGATTTACTTTCTTAAGCTAACAGCAAAAACTTCCTTCTTGTAAGACACTTTAAATTAGAATGTGTAGTTCTGGGAATAAAACATTAACGTGCATTAAGAAGCTAAAGCCACTTCAGCATGAGTTAGATGCCCGCCCCTGAGCTGATCCACATGGCGTGACAGATCTCTCCTGACCTACCTGCTGCTCCCTTAGCAGTGTACCTCAACAGGTGGCCTGCTCTGCTCCTCACTCTGTTTCTGGTGAATCCTTTCACCACCCCTGCACCTCTGGCCTGTACCACAGCTCTGTATGCATATATAAATAAATTAAAAAAAAAATGCTATCTTGAACCTTGAGAAACTTAATTATATTTCATTGTACTATAGATGCACCTCACTATCTTTACTGGGTTACAGAAAAGTTGACATTTGGGAAAATAGTATTTTCCATTGGTAAAAATACTATTAATAGCTTCATTTTGTTTCCTGAATAGTACTGATTTCTCGTGATAAGAATCTGTTATTGAACACCAGACACTGACCTTTCCTATAGTACAGTTTAAGAAACAAATTGACTTAATTTTTGGTAATCACTGTTACTTTTGAAATATTAGAAAGACTTAAATGACATTTTTCTTGCTATGAGTTAAATAAACAGTAAAAATTCAAGGCCATTCACATAAGACACTTTAATCCATTGAATTGTATTATTGAATTCTTACCAAATACTTTTCTGAGGGTTTTTTTTGGGGGGGGTAAAGTTGCTGTGAGAAAGTACTTATTTTCTGTTCTTTTTTTTTTATTTGAATACATATGACATGGATACAATGGCATATATAAAATCTGTTTAAATTAATTTTATCACCATTACTTTATTATCTGTATGATTGTGTTTATATCCCCATTACTAATTTTTCATGTTACATTTAATTAGTAGTCTATTGAGAAAAAATAAGAGATTGTTTCATTTATCCATTGAAAATTTATTTACTACAAAACTAATATTTAAGCCATTTTAGCCATGTCACAAACATAGGGGTCTAGAAACTGAATGATGTTGTGAATCACTAATGAATTCTGTAGTGTTCTTTTATTCACTAATAACATTTTTGTTAAACTGTATATCACATATAAAGGGTGTTATCAAAAATTCCTCTAAGACTCATAAATTACAGCATCTGTGTTTTAGTATTCATGTCTAATAAATTTTCTATAATAGATCATAAGAGAAAAACTTCCCTATGTGTATATTACATATGTAGGTAGTGTAATTTTAATAATAGACTAAAAATCATTTAACACAATTTTCAGTGACTATTCTTTATCCTTGAAAGATTATAAAAACTTTAATCACTTTTTGATTAATCGTATCTGCCTAAAGCTAGAGAGACTGATGACATTATTTTGATGATAGAAGGAGGCTAAGAAGAATCTCCTATAAGTCATCTTCTTTTCCTTTTTCCCAGGGTATAACTATTACTTAAGTAATTACCCACTAACATTCTGCTAATGATGTATCTATAGAATTATAAAGAAGCCCTTTCAAAAGTATGTTTAAGAGATGATAATATTTAAATTGTTTGATATGTGGGGTGATCAAAGAGTATAGTGTTGATTTGAGAGTGTTTTTGGAAGTTTTCCTGAATATCATATTTTTTTTTTTAAGATTTATTTATTTATCCATATAGAACTGGGGTACAGGCCAGAGGTTCATGGGTGGTGAGAGTATTCACCAGAGACAGAGTGGGGAGCAGAACAGGCAGATCGACGAAGTACACTGCTGAGGGGAGCAGCGGGCGGGTCAGGAGAGGTCTGCCACGCCATGTGGTCTCCTTCCGGGGCAGGCGGGAATCGAACTCATGCGGAAGTGGCTTTAGCTTCTCAGTGCAGTGCTTTAACCCGCTGCGCCACCAGGGAGGGCCGAATATCATATTTTTTAAAGTATTTTAAATACATTGTAAAAAACATTTATACAATTTCCTTTCATATAGCTAAGCTGTAGTGCTTTGTAGTTATACCTCACACTATATAGAATGCTCTTACATTAGTTAATTTAATCCTCACAACCCTATAAAACATTTGCAATTTAGAAGAGTGATGATTTAAAATTCACTTTCCTCAAGTTTTAAAGTTAGTAAATAACTGAATTAACAGGCAAAACCAGATCTTTTAATTTCAATCCACTTTCCAGTTCTCCAAAGTTGTTCTGATTCCTGGTTTATAATTCATCACCTGACATAGGGATGGAAGGGTGAAATACATAATGCTAACAAGAAACAAAAGTATACAGCTTCTGTGTTTAATTGTGCTACTAAATCAACTGAATTTTTTTGAGTGACTATAATATCAAGGAATGGAGCAAATATCCAATTTTTCAGCACAAAATAAGATACCTTGTACACTGCTGGTATACTATTGCATGATGATTGAATTTCTGAGTGAATGGTTTGAATTAAACAGTAATTTTTTTATTTATCTTTTATCTATAATAGATTTATGACTCTATACAGATACCTACATTCATATATCCATATCTATAATATTGCATTATTATTTAATCTATATCACATCAATTTCAAGCATGTCTGCCTCCTTCTAGCTGCTATACAATGATAATAATAACAAATAAAAATCAAATCAAGATAATAGTTGACTAAAATTTAATTGGTCATGATAACAGAGACAAAAATGTGAAATTCCTGGCTTAAAAGAAAGAAGTATCATAATGCTTTGGTGAATTGTAGCCATGCCAAATTCTAGCAAGGAGGTAAACGAGGTAGTGGTTTCTTCTGGACACTGGTGGTGGAGTACCTTATAAAACCAGAGAATTTTATTATTCTGAGAGCATTTAAGAATTAATCTTTTCAGAATGTAATGATAAAATTCAGGAGATATACTGAAGTATACAATACAAGGTATATTAGCTGTCATTATTTACAAATTCTGTATTATAATTTTAAGCTATAATATGAAATTGGCAGTTTTATGAAGAATATTATTTTGTTCATTATATGAGGAAAAAATATACATTACAGATGGGTATCATAGAACATAACTAAAGCATGAATTTCAGGCATGCTTTAATATTATGGGTACTTTGCCTTCGTTTTCTGGATATTTCATTAATAAATAATTTTGGAGAAATGAACATCTGTGACTAATAACTGTGTGTAGAAATAGTAGTATATCTTTAAAATTTGGCTGGGAACAAAAATTAGTTGATATGATTTTCTTATGTTTTTTTTCTTAATATTTTTATGTGTTTTAAATACCTGACATTTAAAAATTACTTTTAAATTACTTTTTAAATTAAAAATTACTTTTGGAGGGCTAATTGATGTGTTATTGACTTAGAGGTTTAGTTTGTCTTATGAATATATATTTCATATGGAAAACAGCAGGCATAAAACACAGAAGCTCATAAGTTAATTGATGAGTAACTTATATAACTTAATGAATTTATAAGTTAACTGAGGAGGTAAATATAGTCTTGTTATTTGGATGGACATACTTGAGCTGAAAGTGAAAAAGAAGCCATATAAATAGTGCCTTTATGAATATCCAACATTTCATACCAGAGCCATTTTACCCTGAACGTTTTAGCTAGCCTGAAAAGATATCCACTGCTATTTATATTTTTTCTCATTAAAGTATTAAACTGGAAAACAAGGTTCTAATGATGATGTTTGCTTGATTTGCTATCATTACTTCTAGTCAGTTATTCCAAATGCTCTTGCCTACATATATGCTGCCATTGTCATGAATTATCATGATAAATCCCAAGAAATCCCTTAGAAGTATTTTTGCTGGTCTGACCATTAATCTTATTTTTAAACTCAAATGTTATAATACCACACATTTTGCCTTTAATTATTTTTAAATTTTATTTTGTATTTTATAATTCTACTATGTCATATAAATACAGTTAATGACAAGGAAAAGAAATTTCTGTGGTATATAGAAACACAAACCCTATTATGTCTTCTTTTGAATTTTTTTTTTAAAGATTTATTTTTATTTATGCATACAGAACTGGGGTACAGAGCAGAGGTGTATGGGCAGTGAGAGGATTCACCAGAGACAGAATAGGGTGCAGAACAGGCCGACTGATGAAGTACACTGCTGAGGGGAGCAGTGGGTGGGTCAGGAGAGGGCTGCCGCACCGCACCATGTGGGTCACCTCCAGGGCAAGTGGGGATTGAACTCATGCTGAAGTGGCTTTAACTTCTTAGTGCTGTGCTTTAACCCGCTGCGCCAATAGGGAGGGCCCTTGAGTGGTTTCTTTTGATTAAAATTCTTAAGAGGTACTTTTGTACCTCTAATGGAACTTTTGCACTTTCTAATAGATGACATATGGTTTTTTCAGTTTAGTGGAATGTAAATTTCAGAGAATATCTAGGCAAAAAATAGCTATAAGAGTCTACATTTTGTGAAACTAACTGATAGATTTTTAACAGAAAACTATGTGTAAATGACACTTTCTCTTTGCAACAGTGGCAGGAAGAACTTAAGATCCGAAAGAAATTAGATGAAATGCATGAAGCAAAAGAACGTAAAGATAAAGAGTTAAAAGAAAAAGATCACTTCAGAGAAATTATGAAGAGAAGAGAAGAAAAACTACACAAACAAACCAAACCCTATGAGCTTCCTCCCAGGACTGAAGTTGTTCATCAGAAAAGAAATTGACCCTGCCATATAAGTCCATATGCAAGAAACATGTTGCATTTAAGAGACCAAGCCAACTATATTTAGGAACAATTTCTTCTGTTAATAGTTTTTAACTTGATACAAGATCCTTAACAGAAATGTTTTAGTTTCTAACTACAACTCTTCACCATATTTAAATGAAGTAATTTTACCAGCTAAACATTTTTAAGAATATATCTAGAGCTTTTTCTAATTGACTCTTGTGGTAATACAGATACTTAATGATTTCTCAAAGTATTAATATTTATTGGAAAGTTAGATGGAAATGGATTGCAAATTTTGAGTTATATATAAGAATTATTTCTTGAAATGGAATAAACATCAGCTGATCCTCCAATAACAATTATACAAATAAAATAAGTAAGGCACTTGCTTTCATTGTCAATTTATGCCAAAATAAACCATATGCCAGAAATATTTCTAGATGAATCAATAATCTCAGAATGGCTTCATCTTTAACCTCTACCAAGGATCAATGGGTAAAGAGATATCTGTGATGCCTTATGCTCCTTTTCTGAAAAATACAGATATTACACCTTGATTTCATGCAGGTGACTTGGTATACTGAAGAGACAAGTCATTTATCAGGGATGAGGTGCAAATGACTACCTAGTTAGGAAGGTAGCATAAACGCAGTGACTAGGGCTACAGGTATCTATCTCATACATAGATGTTCCCGCGGCTGAAATGTCTGACCGGTATTGTAGATTTATCTAATGTTTTCAGAAGAAGCGTCAAGTGGGATTATTTTTTATTTTTTTGTTATTTTAAAAATATTTATTTATTTATGCATACAGAACTGGGCTACAAGCTAGATATGCAGGGGTAGTGAGGGGCTTCACCAGAGACAGAGTGGGGAGCAAAACAAGCAGATCGTGGAAGTACGCTGCTGAGGGGAGCAGCGGGAGGGTCAGGAGAGGTCTGTCTGCACCATGTGGATCACCTCTGGGCCGGGGTATTGAACTCATGCTGAAGTGGCTGCAGCCGGCTTGCAGTGCTGTGTCCTGTTGCGGTACCAGGGAGGGCCTGGGATTATTTTTTATAATAAAATTTACTAAGTATCAAAAACTTGGACACCATTTTTAAAAAAATCACATAATCTCAGGTTAAATTTAACATATTCCTGACCCATATTTTGTGAATTTATAGTTTCATTCTTTTTTTTAAATACCAATAATGTATGGTTAAAAAGCAGGAAGGGGAAATGGCATTCTTATTTTGATCTCAAGAGAGCAAATTCAAACATATTGCCTCTCCCAAATTTTTTATTCATGTTTGTCTTACGCAGAGAAAATGTAAGTCATCAAAAATAGTGTCTCCCAATGACCTACTAATTAC